AAAAAAAAAATTTTGAATTTACTTACTTGTAGCCGGAGTTAGAGGCGGTCGGATACTTATGACCGCTACTGTACAAACTTATTCTTTATTTTCTTATTAAATATTTTATTTAATTTTTAGAATTTGTATTAATTAATCATATTTAAAATTATAAGAATTAATAAAAAACAAATACAGGATAGTAATATTAAAAAAAATACATAAACTAGCTTATTAAAAGTTAATATTAATATTTGCTAAACTATAGTTTGCCATGCCTCATACTATATAGAATCCATTCCCTCACAAATTCCATATTATATTTAAAATCCAATTTCTAATTATCTCAATCCAATCCCAAATTCTAAATTCCATTTAATTTATAATATATTTTTAAATATATCAATCAATATCTACTTATAAAAACAAAATAATAATCATTTGAATCTTCTCATCAAGTCAAATATAATAAATTAAATATCATTATATTATGATCATTTAATTGTGACAATATTGTTTATTAAAGTTTTGGTTCAAGGAATGGGATTTGGGATAGGTAATAAGTATATGCTAAACTTTGCTTGTTTAATAAGAAGTTAGTTTATTATGAAACCTTTACAAAAACGTTAGTTAAATGAATGTGAAGATCCTTGAGCCACTTGTTAAACTTTAAATATTAAAAAAAGTGAGAGAATATGTAAGCACTAGATTAGATGCATAGTTAAAAATGGTTAGAATATGCAAAAGGATTGATTTCATAATTATATCTTCAAAAATTTTAATATTATCGCTATGGTTTAAAAAATTTGTTTAGCTGTATTTGATTTCTAAATCTATTGCAAAATTAGTTTAATTAATTTTAAAATCAAAAAGTTTCACATCATTTTCGTCTGTTTATGATAAAAATATAACCTTAAATTGGAATTTGTAATTGAAATAAGTGAGAATTTAAAGGTAAGGTCCTTTCTAAAATTTCCAACTTTTAATTTGAATTCGTTTATTATATGAGCAAAAATGATTCCTTCAATCCGAGTACAATTAAATAATAAATTGCTTAAAGGTTGACATCATTTACATATTTTAAGATTTGGACAATTCACTCATTAAAAAATAAATCATATGATCCGTCCGTAACGTGATTTAATAGCAAACCTTCCATATTTTCGCTTCTCACTGTCAATTTCCTTAAATTAATAATTTTGAGAGGGTTTCATCCCAGTCATGAAATGGTCAATATTAATTTCTACGATTGTATTTATATGACTGATGTTAACTCTTTTGACATTTTTAAAGAAAATTGATTGAAAGTTAATGCTCTTTAATCATTGTTGAGCCTTAATAAAGTTTACCAGCCCCGAATTTTCATAATCAAAGGATTCGGACGTTATCTGCGACATCTCATAATATATATATCCGAAGAAGCATCATCACTTGCTGAATGTATGCTGCGCCCCGGAAAACTTTGTCAAGTGAACATTAAATTCTTCAACGGAAAGGATGAACTCTTTAAGTAATAATAGATCCTTGGCAAAAAATAATTTCAAAAATTAAAATTTATTCCATAATCATTCAGTTCAGGAAATAAATTGATATACTATACAGGTTATAATTGTCAATAATTTTCTTTCATAAATTATAACATTTGAGGGAATTTTTATTTTATTTTCAGAGATTATTTCTTTGGAACCTTCAGGTAAAACAAGAATGTATTATAGCGTTGTAAAGTTTGATAAAATATTTTCGATTTTTAATTCTTAAAATGGATTTCTCCACAAGATAGGTACGACCAAAACCGACTTACTAGAAGGTAAGAACATAATAAATTAAAATTATTCTCAAGGTAATCGAGAATTTCTGAAAGGAAATCTATGAGAAGAGGACATTATTTTTATTAAAAAAAAGAGGTAATGTTATGTAAACCTTTTTTTTAACTTAAACCCGACAGCGAAGACTTTCATATAACCATATCAACCGCAGCAAAATCAACAACATTACTCGAATGGATTTGTTTTACCATCTTGATGATGAGCTTCTTGATGTCGTTTTCGCTCCTTTCCCACCCCTAAATATTTTTTAATGGATGATTTTAATCGTAGGAAAAATTTATCCTTTCGATATCCTGTTCCTGATTCTTGCTCGGAATGTATCTCGTCATAACCATCGTCATTACGTAGTGTTTCTCCAGGAAGTACTAGTAACGAGCAGTGTTTGTGATAAGAAATGAGTTCATCGTTATAATCATTCCCATCATCATATTCATTCGTTGCATTTGAAGAATTAGATGGAGACGAATAGGATGTAGTGCGTGAGGTTGGTAGAAGTTTTAAAAAATTATTTTTGGAAATTCCTGTTGACGAACGAAAAGGTTTTCTGAGTGATAAAGGATGCAAAGGATTTATATCTAGATTTGTTGAGAGGTTTGACATTGTGTCGATGTGATTTTCAAGGAAAAATATCAATTTTTTATCAGTTAATTAACAAAGTCCAAATATAGTAAGTATAATTCAAAGTTCAAATTTTCCCATAAATCTTTTTTTAAAAAATATCTTTTTTGTTAACTTTTATATCGTTTTTATTTTTACGCGTGAACTATATATCTATATCACCATACATGTATTACGTAATAGAATTTCCTTGTGATATCCACTTTTGGAAAAAATTTGATTACAGGTATTCATGAATAAAAGGAAAAAAGGCGTTGAGAGGTCGAGAACCGTCCTGATTGATAACTTCTATAACTAATATTGAATGTGAAGCAAAATTTAAAGGGAAATATGATACTATTTTTTTTTGATCAATCGTTAGTACGCGAATTAAATATGATGTAACTTTGCATGTGATTCCACCATCTTGAGATGGAAGTTTGGCCGCCACATCAATAATCTAACTAGGTTCGTGGACATTCTGTTGTTCTATCCTATATCATATTTATGGACAAAAACAAAATAACTATTCTTTATTTTCTATTCGGTGTATTACTGGACAGAATAGATTCAACAGTCTTCACGACTGGCACAAACTTCGACTTATAAACGGTACTGATTTACGTTTATTTGAACATAGTAAACAGATTTTTCAAATCCATATAATTCAATTAAAGATGGTTGTTTTTGTTTGTTTCATTTTGATATCAGATCGTTACCATATGTGTATTTTAAACATTATCCAGTTTAAATAATCAAAAGGTAGGTCGCACAAATTTATTAACAGGAATTTCAAAAACGTGAAAAAAGCCGGCTATTTAGTTTGGATTTATTTCTTTGAAAAAACTTATCTTAAAAACAGTTCTTTTACAAAAATAGTTACAATAATAAATAAATAAATAAAATATGGGTGGTTTGCTATTAAAATTTTTTAGATCATAGGACTAACTCTATTTTTATAGCAAATGACCATATAATATAAACACACTTTTTTAATAAATTTTTTTATAGCAATCATAATTTACATCAAAACGCGATCCAAATTAAACGCGGCTATATAATTTTTTTTTTTTTTTTAAGAAAAAATAATCGTGAGCATTTCATAACATCAAATTAAAATACCAGGAATAAAAAAAAAAAATTTACCACTGATAAAGGCAATGTGAGTAAAAGCTTGAGGAAAATTACCCAACAATTCACCAGATCTGGCAATTTCTTCGGAAAATAGTTCTACATGATTACCATAACTAATCATTTGCTCAAATATAAATTCTGCTTTTTCTAAAAGTTTTTTATCATATTTTCCTGCTCTTGTTAACGCTTCAATTAACCAAAATGTACACATTGAAAATGATCCTTCCATCCCACCTAATCCTAACAATGAGTAAAAATTCATTATCTCGTGGCAAAATAAAACAAAATTAAATTATCAAAAGTAGTGACGTACCATCATCGGTTGTAAGATGATTATACCGGAATACAAGATTATTCGTCAACAAACCTCCTAATAAAAAACAAATCAATGATTAATGTTAATACATCCCTCGTTCATCATTGTCGTATCACATACCTTTTTCCGGAGGTAATAAAATCTGTTCCATGGTACTTAAAAATCTTGGATCGGTAGGGCTTATAAAAAATACCAAAGGCATAATTAAAACGGAACTGTCCAAAGCATCCAAAGATTCATAAGATTGAGCAAAGATTTTACGCTCAGGATTCCAAGCTTTTAACATAATTTCTTCATAAATAGTATCACGTATTTGCGTCCATTTATTTCTATCAGGACATGGCAATACTCTCTTCTCCGATAATCTTAACCCTGTTAAAAGATTCAAATCAAGTTAATAAAAAGAGACCATAGTATTGCAAAAAAAAAAAAAAAAATTTTCAAAAGTAATATAATAAAGAACGTGCCTCTATCAACGGCAACCCAACACATAATTTTAGAATAAGTAAAGTTTTGCATTTTTCCTCTAACCTCCCAAATACTCATATCTTCCCTATTCCAATTATCACACACATAATTTACTAATTTACGTATGTTTACCCACATATCGTAAGAGATTGGACTACCGAATTTATTATACAAATACATCGCATCCAATAATTCTCCGTAAATATCTAATTGAATATGATCATACGCTCCATTTCCAATACGAACGGGTTTGGATCCACGATATCCATCTAAATGAGTCAATTCCACTTCTGTTAATTTCTTTTCCCCATCTATACTATACATGATATTTAATGATCCATCAGGATTCTATTGAGATGCGTGAAATCTTGTTAGAAAATCAACAAGATAATTACGCTTGTAAAATAATTCAGTCAATCTCACCAAATCCTGGCATCTTGCTTCCATGAAGTCCATATAATGCTTGGCTTCTTGAGTCATACCAAGTCTCATAAGTGCGTAAACGGTGAATGCGGAATCTCTAACCCAAGTGAATCGATAATCCCAATTTCTAGGTCCGCCTATCTCTGTAAGGAAACAAATATAAATGAAACAAGATCAATTCCTTAAATTTTTTTTTTTTTTTAAAAAAAAAGGATTTCTTTACCTTCAGGAAGTCCAAAAGTAGGCGATGCGACAACAGCTCCAGTCTAAATGTTAATAAAATGATAAATAAAATATTAAAATATTTATTTCAATTTTTAAATCGTAAACTTAATTACCGGCTCATAAGTCATTAATTTCAAGGCTAAAGCACTGCGATGAACGTTTTCTCTCCATCTTCCTTTATAACAAGATTGAGCAATCCAATCTTGCCAAAATTGTAAGGTTTGTCTAAATAAATTTTTCATTAGGCCAGCACTTAATGGAGGATCCAACTTATCAATTTCTTTAGTAATTGAAATTTCTCTTAAAATAAAAGTAACAGTTTGAGTTTCTTTTAAAGTGAATTGAAAAATGATACCAGGACCTTTCATTACATTATTTTTTGCTAATTTAAATTCAATGACTGGAGGATCTAGTTCGCCATTTAAGACGACATAGCGTAAATCCATACAAAGTGTATTGGAACGAAATATAGCTCTTTGATGTCCAACATATGACGCTACATCATCTCTTAGATATTTTGATAATTTATTTTCAGTTACTTTATATTCTTCGATTTCGGTTGTATGCTCATCCAATGCGTAATTAAATGCCGGAAACAGTTCAAATTGAAAGTCAACTTTACCGCGAATCACGCTAACATTTCGAATGAGCCATGGAAGGACGGGTTTTTGTGAGGAACTGTCAGGAATATGCATGTAATCAGTAATTTCGCTCACTCCTTCATCATGTAAGAATCTTGTAGATAAGATATTAGATCCCGGAAGGTATTGTTGCTTGTTACTAGTATGAATTGTTGGTGCAATCGAGAAGTGTCCTATAAAGAATCTGAGAATGAGCGGGAGTCACGTGGTAGCATGTGATGATATGACACTTACCTCCCTAAGGGACATTTGATAAAGTTGTATAATATATAAAAATAATATATGAAATAGAATTGAAAATTATTTTTTTATCTTTAGTGAATTCACCTTGTCGTTATCTAACATTCTTGCAAAGACAGAAGGACTATCGAATTTTGGATAGCAAAAGAAATCGATCGAACCATCTGTTCCACACAAAGCAACGGTTCTTAAATTTCCGATTAGTCCATAATTTTCAATAGGAAGATATGAGTATTTGGGAGGTTAGATTCAACAGTCTTCACGACTGGCACAAACTTCGACTTATAAACGGTACTGATTTACGTTTATTTGAACATAGTA